GGAAACCTCAGCAGAACCAACACCACAGTGTGAAAACTACAGCACTCCAATATCAGACATATGGAAAGTCCTAATTAACATACTTCCTGAGCCAAACAATCTTTTACATGAGGTGCTCACTTTTAACCAATCGCGCTTTCATCTCCAGCTGCGTGTCCCCTCTGAGCCAATCACATCCTTCTCGCTGAGTCACGTGACCTTCCCTCGTCCAACCCCAGCCGGGCCTGGCTCCCTGGTTCGTGACACAGCAGCTCTAGGAAGTCCGGCGCATGTGAATTGGACCTGTGCCAAATCACCAAGAGAGCAAGGTAAACAAGTTCGCCCATTACGCCCCCTCCCTCCCCCCACGCACACACAGCCGTCTTCTTTTACCCATAATTCCCTTCTTTCTGATCTGCTGCCATGACTTTTATCCATTTCCTTGTGTCTCGTTTCAGACAAATAAAGAACAAGAAATAACATGTGGTCGATACACGCTGTGCTCTAGTAAAAGCAAAGTTCACTGCGTCACTGTCTCTGTTGCCCCTGGCGACGCTGTTGTCTTGGGGACTTTTGGACAAAACTCATTGGCTAAAAGAGTGGAAAATAGGATCACAATGCAAGTTAATCTGTGATGTTTCAATAACTAGACAAAACAAAAAAAGGCATCCGGTTATATGTAACGTGAGGAATTTTTCCCCATTTAAACGATATATCTTGTTTAAAATCCCTAGATTCTCATCATTCGGAAAGCCACGCACATAACTTATAACTTTCAACTCGGGCTGGATAATATGACAAAAATTATCCACAATATTTTCCCTCATATTCAACAACCATTATTTTGTATTCATTTTGTGCCGTCTTATTAAAACCAACTAAAAATGGCTTTCAGAATTAATTTCCTGTACCTAAACACAACACAGACTTGCCATTTAAGGAAAATAGGTCAAATTTCTTCCTCCAAAGTCTGAACTCCAAGCTCCAAACCACATCCTTTTACCGACAGAGGATTGGCTGTGGACTCCTCGATTAAGGATTCAAACCTATTAGTAATAACAGAATCTGTTTCCCCATTAAAAGTTGATCTATTACACAGAGCTACACAGACCCTGAAGTACTCTCGATTTGAATAGTTAAGATGTAATGTATTTACAGGCTGCATATTTTCCCTAGGTTAAGCCAAACAATCTACCAGAGTTTTATAGCTGTAGGCCTAATGAGGTATTAAGTACTAAAACAAATCTAAATATAATTACACATATATAAAAGTAGTCAAATTATTACTGTATTATTCAGTATATGTTCATTGTAACTAATCTTTTGCAGTGAGACGACTTAAAGCAGTAGCAGAGACCTCTTTGTTTACGTGTTAAAATACTAACACATATTTTTAGTTGCCACTGTTGTATATTTATCTAACTATTGTAAATTATGTGTATCAGTTAGATTCTGGCTCCCAGTGGAAACAATTATTTGTGGCGTTTTGCTTCCTCTTATATGGTGCCATTTTGAGGACGGTTGATTATATAAACGATACCGCACGCAGTTTCGTTTTGGATTATAAATTACTCTGGCTACGACTGTAACTTTTCATCATTCTGAAAACCTAAGCTCATCTATTAGCTCACAATAATCATTCAGTCAAATTTATTAGGGCTGGGAATCGCAGGATCCCTCACGATTCGATACGATTCACGATACGCGGCTCACGATACTAATAATATTTCTTTGTTAAACCACTACTAGTGCAAAGTTGATATGAAATGCATCTATTTTAATCATCAAAACAGTGAATATGTCAAGTGTGTTACATATATAAATGTCCTTCCACTAAATAAGCAAGAAAATGTTAGTGGGAAACAGCAGCCCACGATAACGATACTGTATCAGCGATATTTCGACATACAGTCTTCCAATAAAGCACAACACATCACCTCTCTATCTCGCGTCTATACACCCAACCCCAGATCTGTCACATCTCCTGCTTCCATGTTGAAAGATGGATTCAAAGTACTACGCAGCCAGCCACATACACCACCTACATAAGAGAGACAGGAAAGAGTAGATCAAAACTACCAAGGAAGGAAGGAAGGATGTTGTGGAGAGATGAGATTTGACTGGCTAGATCCGAAACCGGCGTCCAAAAAGTCGATGAATCTTCTCTTTCTCCGACATGCAAAAGTGACGTAGCAACTTATCCGAACCTTTGCTTTCTGTAACCACTGCCTTTTTAGACCACTCTTCCTCCTCTCTCTTCAAACAGCTGCTTGCGTTTCTATCTTGTTATTATGAAACGCTACAACTGCTAACAGAGTCCGAACTAGCAGACAGCACAGCAAAGCCTGACAGATCCAATAGTCCACAAGCTCGTGCACGCTCTCACACACCCCCACGTGCACGCGCCTGCTACATCACGCCGTCCCTGGCTCTTCCTGAATGTGACGCAGCACTTAATTCACAATGCTCTGGGGATAGACCAGTGTTAAGGCTGCGAAAGTACCAGGATGTAAAGAGCAACCAGGCAGGAGAGCATAAGCTATGGAGACATACAATATATATGATGTTGCCATGTCCTGGATTCACCCCTTTTTTCTCTCTCCTCTCTTTCTCTCCCTCTCTTTCTTGCCTCCTCCTCTCTGCACTGCTCTATCTGAACGCTTCCTAGACCACCTGACCACATTGTCCACGTTGCTTTTAAAGAAACATCTACAAGGGTTTTGTGGAGCTGGTCAGAGGAATAACATGGGCTGTTTCCATGGGTTTCAGAGTGGTGGAAATCTGCACTGTTGCCGTAGCAATTAAAGGGCCAGTATGTAAGATTTTTCCAATTTTGTAAACATGACTTAAGTGTGTCCCCAGAGGTAAACACGTTCAGATTGTATATTGCAGATAACAATTGCGATGCTGATTTATTCTTGGTTACAAAAACACTGGACGTGATGGATGGGTTGTTTTTGTTATAATTTGGTGTTTTGGTTCCCAAGACGTTTAGCCAATGAGAAAGCAGAACGCGCCTCGCATCGCTCTCTCACTCGGGTTGCCAGTTTCGATGCTGTAATCCAGTCAATTAAAACCTAAAACGATTCTGTCTTTTGAATGGTCTCAAGTACTCAAAATGGCACCTACAGCATAAACAGGAAGCTGAAAGGCATGAATAAGCAAAATGAAGTTGATGTCCTCAAAAATTTGGCTCCTGTCAGGCCTCGTTTCACCATCGAATTATTAAAGTGATTGTACAGTCTGGTTTTGATTAAAAGCCAGTAAAGATGACTAAGATTTGTGGATCTAAGGAAACATTAACTTGGCCACAAGGTGTCACCGTAGACACATATTAAACAACATCTTGAGATAAGGCTAAGGAATAAAGGCTAAACAGATGGAACAATTACCTAGTAGAAAATCTGTCTAGAAAATTATGTTTAGAATTCAAGATATAACCAACAATACCATCGTCGGCCACTAGGAGGTAGATTAACTTTTACATTTTTTTTTTTATGTTAAATTTTTTTTCTACTGCCAGCATTAGTCTGAAGTGCTCTGATTAATGAACTCACGATTTATAATGTAACATAATATCGCACAGGGAACTTCATAGGAAATTGTACGTGAGCATTTGCTGTCACTTCCTATTAGTAATGCTATACAACCCATATCCTCTTCCTCTCTATCACTTTTATTTCCTGTGCGTATAAAATGTACAATCAAAATTATTCAAGATGAAATTGCATCTTTAATTCTACCGAAACAAGCGTCTTTTGTTATTATTTTTAAAGCTATAACGCAAAAGTGACATACAATATTTCTAACTATTACTCCAACTATTTGCTATGTTACACTGTGAGCTGCTACAGTAAAAGCACATCATACTGGACGGAGAAAACACTGCAAAACTATTTTCTACCACCAGATGGAGACTCAAAACCTGCAATCGCCGCTTCATTTTCAGAACAAGATAAAACCAAGCTACATTCTTCTCTGTTACGGTCTGAAATGAGTCATTGGACTGATGTTTCTAAAGGTATTTTGTTGGGTGATTGGTGCACTTCCTCAGCAGGCAGAGACACGAATTTTTCTACCTAAAGTCACTAAGTATTAGGTCTCAAATAATTGTTACTGCAAAGTACGCTGTCATTTTTGTTACGTATACAAAGCAATTAGCTGTTACTAATTTCAGAAAAGTATACACCTACTACTACTGATACTACGAGGCCTCCTACTACATCAGCTTCGGTTAATACTGCTGACATCACTTCTCTACACCTTTTGAAAACAAGAACATAGTATAAGTAAAAGTTCTAGTTACTTAACTGATGAGTAAACTGAGTGATTAAAGATGCACTGCTCATCTCCATGGAGTTTGGCCTGGAATATTCCACACTATAGCATTAAACTTATAGTAATAGTAGTAGTAGTAGTAGCGCCACCAAGCCAAGTTACAGGTCAGATTTGTAGAAAAGCGACCCTGCTCAGTTAAGATTATTCAAAATATTTTTTAAAAGACTTGCAATCAATTAAATGCAAGATAATTTTAATTATTTATTTGTTTATTTTAATTAATCAGCCTAAGGAACATTCTAGTATTATGATATTAAAGGTGTATTGTGTAACATTTCTGGTGGAGGGTCCATCACCTGTTTGAGATGTCATTGCTCTGCCTGGAATGTTCCACAGTATGACATTAAACAGCTCTGCCTAACATTTATTCAATTACAGGTGGATTTAAAGCTCAAAAATACCTAAAAAAACAGGTATTCTGACTGTGAGTGGGGTCGCCTCACCACAGATCTGACCAGTAACTTGGGCTAGTTTGATAGAAAGGTTTAATGCCATACTGTAAAACATTCCAAAGCAATAACATCTCCATAAAAAAAAAAAAAAAGCATTTGATGGACCCTCCACCACACAATGCACCTTTAATGTTTATTTGTCGTATTATTAGATAAAGTTTTTATTCCTAAACTAAAATATTGGTAACTCCAAACTGCCTGATTTATGGGGTTGTATATGATTGCACATACCTTCCTCCAGGACTCATGTCTTGTTCTAGGGTGGAGAAAAACATAGAAGTCACATGGACAACAAAATATAGATTCCCATAGAGTATTACAGACAGTATATTTTACATTACCTCCGAGCCACATATACACAGACATCTTGGCATCATCTGGAACAATCTGTCTTCTGTAGTGGCACTGAAACGAAACTTTAAAACGTAATCATTTCCTGTGAACAAGTTATGTAATATATTCTACTCATTATAGTATATAGGGCAACATACACATTCAACAAGTGTATTCATAATCAAACAATTATATTTTTAAAACTCCCTTGGGAAAGTTTTTAATTCTGTCCCTAACAATTGCTGGCCCGTATCCAAGTGCTGAACTATAGAGATACTGTACTTTGTAAGCTGATAAAAGGCTTAGTTGTACAATTTAAAACTCCCCTTCGCAATGAATTCCCAATGGAGCTCAGTCTGCCGATTAAACAAGCTAAAAGCAATGTTAAGATATTGAGGCGATTTTTGATATAACAAGTGTAGTAATTTTGCTAGTCAAGATTTGATTTTACATTTTGGGTCCTTGTGGGATAAAGAAAACAATTATGATTTCAATTTTGTCTGAAGTTAATACGAGATACAAAAAAATATTAATACTTGAAAATCTTTGTTTACAGGGGAGGTTGTAGCTTTGTAGCCTTGCGCAATAGTCTCCATGGGCGTTTCTTAATTTGACAATGAGAGCGATTACTTTTACTAATAATTACTAAGTCCTTGCATGAATACTTTGAAAAATAGATAAAAAATACAACCTGTAAAGGCGTGGTACGTAACTTTTCGGGTGGGGGTTTGCCATCTCTTTGTCCCAGTGGATATGTTACAGCTTTTTCTTGAATGTTCCAAAGTATGGCATTACAGTGATATATCTTGTATGTATTCAGTTACAAGAGTTGCTGAATAATAAATACACTGATGCCTGCATTCATACCGTAAGCAGAGTCGCCTCTCCACAGATCAAACCTCAGATGAGATGATTATAAGGATTTATAAGCAAAACTACAGATTTGGAGAGAGTTGAGTTTTGGTTAAATCTGCCTTTTCATTTGTTCATTTTTGTTTTATTTATTACTACTTCTCTATATATTCACAGTGTTTTTTGTGCAAGATTGTAATAATTTAAGATCAGCACTATGCCTTACTCCTTTTTAATAGATTCATCAATGCAAAGAACATTTCTTTAGTCAACCAAGATTTATTTTTTTGTCGACTACAGCCTAAGTGGCCATTTGAATACATTTTACTCAGTGCCTGGTTCATCTCACCGGAGCTGAGAAAGCCAAGCATCATTGCAGGAGTCAGCTTTCAGCCTGCAGTTATGTGAATGCAAAGGATCTAAGAGGCTAGAAGCGATTTACACAGAAGAGAGAGGAGAGATGCGGGGAGGGGATCGATGCTTTGGCCTGGAGGTCCGTCAGCTCCTCTGGTTTAAACTACACTGACAATAAGTGGATACTGTGAGTGTGTGGGTTTGTACTGCTAATAAGAGGAAGCACATCTGACATGCTGCGTTCAGGGGCGAGACTGTGAGGTGGAATATGTTGAAACCGCTTATAGTCTTGGTTTAGGACTAGTATAGACCTGTTTTTTTTTGTTACAGTAGTAGTGGTATGCTACTTTTTCCTGTTAGTCTTGGATTTAGTTCAAGACTGGTTTACCTGTAGTACTGGTTTAGTTTTAAATTTGGAATATTCTAGTCTAGGTTTAGTCTTAGTAATGTCCTGGCCTTATAAATTTTACTAGTTGTGTTTTTTCTGACATCATCCTGGTTTAGTCCTGGTTTTGGTCTAGAGATGGTTTGTGCTAGTCTCTGAATTCGTTCTTACCTAGTTAATTTTGGTTCGGATCATGTTAAATCCAAATTGATCTTAAATTTTGTTTTGGTTTGGAACCAATCTGGGTTTTGACCTAGTTTAGTCCATTTGTTTTGATAGACCTAATTATGGTATAGTTCTGGTTGTTTGTTTAAACACTGATTTAGAACTAGTTTCATTTTGGGTTAAATCTAGGTTTAACCTGGAACATTCTAGTCTAAGTTTAGTACTGATTTATTTATTTAGACTTTATTTAGTTCACTTTTTCCTGACTTTATTGTTGGATTGGTAATGTATTTTTAAAATCCTGGTTTAGTCTTGGTTTAGTCCTGGTTTTCGTTTAGAGATGGTTTAGTGCCAAATCTTTAGATTAGTTCTTACCTAGTTCATTTTAAATCCAAACTGATCCAAACATTTTTGTCCTGGTTTAGAATTGTTCCAAGTTTTGACCTGGTTTAGTCCATTTGTCCATTAGTTTTCTGGTTTATTACTAGTTTAGTTTTGGTTTAAATCTGGAATATCAACCTGGAATATTCTAGTCTAGGTTTAATCCAAATGTAGTTCTGGTATAAAACTTGATATAGAGCCAGTTCAGTCCTGGATTAGATCTAATAGTGCTAGTACAGAAGATGCAGAAGTGGTTTAAATAAAAGTTCATCCCTGTCTATTCTTGGTTTAGAATTTCTTCTTTACCAAATTAGAGCTTGTTCTCATTTCCCACTCCCACTCTCTTAATTGTAGTGTTAATGGTGTGGTATTTTTCTGACATAATACTGGTCTAATCCTGGTTTAATCTTCTTTTAATGTTGGTTTAGAATTTATTTTGTCCTGGTTAAGACCTACTGTTATGGTGTACGTTTGATTTAGACACCATACCTGAATCACAGTTTCTGGTTGAGGATTTACTAATCCCTTGTGTGGTTTAGCCCAAGTTTAGACCTGGTTTAGTACTGGTTTAGACCAGATCTAGACCTAGTTAAGTTCTGGTTTAGTCCAAGTCATGTACTGGTTTAGTCCTGGTTTAAACTAAGTTTAGACCTAGTTAAGTTCTGGTTTTGTCCAAGTTTAGAACTGGTTTAGTTCTGGTTTAGACCAAGTTTAGATCTAGTTAAGTTCTGTTTTTGTCCAAGTTTAGACCTGGTTTATTTCTTGTTTAGTCCAAAATTAGACCTGGTTTAGTCCTAGTTTAAACCAAATTTAGACCTAGTTAAGTTCTAGTTAAGTCCAAGTTTAGTCCTGGTTTAGACCAAGTTTTGACCTAGTTTAGTTCTACTTTTGTCCTAGTTTAGACCTGGTTTAGTCCAAGTTTAGACCTAGATTAGTTCTGGTTTCAAAGTTTTAAAAATTTAGATCTGGTTTAGTATGGGTTTAGAACAAGTTTAGACCTAGTTTAGTTCTGGTTTAATTCTTGTTTAGACCTGGTTGAGCCCTGGTTTAGTCATGGTTTAGACCTAGTTTAGTTCTGGTCTAGTCCAAGTTTAGACCGACTTTAGTCCTGGTTTATAGACCAAGTTTAGTCCTGGTTTAGTCTTAGTTTAGAGACCAAGTTTAGACACGGTTTAGTCCTGGTTTTGACCTGCTTGTGACCTAGTTTAGTTCGTACATTCACAGTAAACAAAGTAGAAGTGCTACTCTGACCACAGCACTCGTGATCTGTGGTCTGCACTGATGCAAACAAACTTCATTTTGAGATATGTCAATTTCCACGTCGTGCCAGTGAACGCTATTTTTACTCTTCTTTATTCAACAACACAGTTAATTTTAGCCATGTCATGTATCAGCCGTCCTGCGCCATTTCCTCAGCCCTAATCCCCCACTGGAAACATGCCCGGGCAGTGCCAGCTCATCAGATGGCATCACGATTTTCTATAGGCGTATATAGGCGAGATGGGGGCATTGTTTATGTGTACATTTCTGTGTGTGTGTGTGGTTGTTGAGAGTGACAATGGAGTTTTTTTCCACTAATAACAATGATCAGATTCCAAATTTGTACTCTGTAGGGAAGTAACTAAATACATGTACTAATTTTAACTGTGTTGCAGCAAAGTACTCTTATTACCTTTATTTACTGGTATTCAGAATATAGTTACTTACAGTTACTCTGAAAATTAAAGGAATACATGGTGCAATTTGATCACACAATTTAGATTTAAACGAACCTGGAAGAGTCCTGGGGTACAACTAAAACAATAATTTAGTCATATTGGTTAGTACTGGTTTATGAGTTGCAGTGGAGGTGGTTTAGTCCTTTTGTTTAACATAGTCTTGGTTTAGTCCAAATCTAAATGAACTTAACATATTTATATAGAACGGCATTTGATTGGTAAAGAAATGTAAAGCACTTACAGCTATTATTAACATAAACATCTATTTTAGCACGTAGTCATAATCAATGCAAAAGTAGATTACTAATTTCTCCCTACGTGAGAATTTGACATTTGTACAATTTTGTAAACCAAAAAAATAAAAAAAAATAGGCCTACCTCATTAATTAGAATGAAGAAGTGAAGTCTTGCTTGTCGAAACTCCTGAAATAAAAAAGACAAGTCATTCTGCATCAGACGACCACCACAAGAGAAAACATTTCCAAGTGTGTGTGTGGCCTAAATAATGGTCCAACAATTGTTCAAACTTTACGCACTTTGGGACAATGACGCAAACTACGTCACAAAATTATGGCTGGTGCGCACGGATGAACCATATAAAACTGGCTCTACGCACAATTCAGCGTTTAATTTAATTGTTTTTTTAACCTATATTTTTTGTACGGACAGAGTACAGGATGTCTGCATGACCTAGTAATAAACCCAGAAAGTACGCCATCTCGTGTCGAAGAGGAAAACTGCTTTTAAGGGGTTTGTTTACATCAGGAATAAAAAGTGCGTATGACATAGAAACCTCTGGATGAATGGAGATGGGTCACTGCGCTCCTAGAGAACAAAAAAACAACATAAACCAATCAAACTGCGACTTTTTCGGTCCGTTTTTTGTGCAATCCAGTTTAGTGCGCACAATGCAATATTACATAATTTGAACTTTTAGCACGCAGATGGAATTTTAAAAGATGGATTTATAACATAACTAAGCAAATAGAGATAAATACAATATTACTTAACTGATTGACCAATTATCATCTTATATAAGGAATTAAACAATACTCACTGAAACGTCGCCAACTTGAAACTTAAGATAACTCTCCAAAAAGCACGTGGCGCATTAAACTCAAACGAACAAGAATTTGCGTTTTAGTGAAACGTGGAGGAAAACGCTTGTAGCATCCATCGTGCGCGTGTGATGGGCGGTGGGCTCTGAAGGCGTGGATGCGAGAC